AGTTTTCAAGATGTTACAGACATTTGCTCAACGTGTTGGTTAAATTTGAACTCCATTGTCTTTCAAAAGCAAACAGGTTATTGTTGTTACATGATTATTTAAACACTGTGAGAACAACTTCAGGATGTTTTTGGCCTTTTATTGTTATGTTATTTTACAAGTACACGTTATTAACAATGATTATTATCTCTTTGTACCAACAGGAGAGGTGACAAGCTTGAAATAAACTACTCTTTGAAGAAATAAGCTTCTCATCGTGTATATGTATTACCTGCGATCATGCCAGCAGATCTTTGGTCTTTCAGCCAAATAACCCAAATTTCACCAAATCGATAATAAATTTGCAGACAATTGATATATAATTATGATTGCATGAACTTAGAGTTTTTCATAGACCTTAAACAAAAATTGAGGTGCTACACTGAAATTACTGTTAAAATATGTCTTGAGTACTTAAACTTTTGTAATTCTGAGCATTGGGTGTAATGCAGAAAATGTCTGCAAGAAACTGCCTCCTTTTTTCTTATAATCAGCAATCGGTTTACTTTTCAAAAACTTTTTTGTTCACAAGTGCAACTCCATAATCAATAACCATATTCAGAAAAGCTTTGTCTCGATACCCAAGTCTTTCTCAATGGACAATATGTTCTAGGATCCCTTGCCGAATTAGGTGCTCGCATTCCGATCTTAATAAAAAATGCTGAAATGTACAAATATAACTTCTGATATTCTAACACATACCAACAAAACATTTAAATTTAATGATAAGTTAATTTAATTATCTTTACATGGATCCAGTTGAGTGAAAAGAACCAATTCATTCATAAAGTTTCATACATTAAGTTTTACAATATTTTTCCTCACCTGACTATTTTTCTTCAGCACTAAAACATTCCCGTCCTGGGTTTCAAATTCTCCATGGTCTGTTGTACATCGAACCTGAACAAATTAAGCAAAATACGTAGTTGTCCCAGTTTAACAGTATTAGCTTAAAAGCAGCCATAGCTGAATTCAAATACTCCAGTTTTATAGTTGACTATTAAGTTCAGCAGTCCAAGCTTAGTTCAATTACTCCAACCTTACTATAAAACAGGTCCCAGATTGCCCCAAATACTCAGTATAGAATTAACATTCTGGGGGTGCAATGGTGTAATTTCTTTGTCTGGCTACGGCATTCCATCAATTTCCTGGAATACGTCCAAAGACAACATAAAGATTTCTTTATTCTGTCAAAATCACAAAAAAAGGTCCTTACCTCAATGTATAAAGTTTTTGGGGGTTTGATGTCTTGTGTCAAGTCTAGGCCTCCGTCCTCGCCAATTGACCGCATGTAATTAGCCAAGCACTTATTATATCTATTAAACCACTGGACCTACGAAACAGATTTTGATAAATGGTTTTAACAAACATCCTAACAGTGATTATTAACTAAAAACTGAATTGGACTTGACCTTTGTATCTCTCTGTTAAATTATAGAGCTGCAAATGCTGTTGTTAATTATTTTTAATAAATATAATTAATAAATAGCTTTCTGATATGTGGAAAATGATTTTTTAAAATTCAAAGTGACTATCTAACCTCTTGTTCAGATAAATTGTATCTTATATCTTGAGGAAGCACACTTCCGAATTCCCACCTCATTTTTTTTATTTGTTGTATTCGATTGTATCTGAAATGAGAATAAATTTCACTGGATAGCTAAACACTAAAAAAGAAATTCAATTAAAATTAAAAAATTAAATATATATTCATATCAGATATTCATTGAAATCCAGAAGGGGGTGCAGAAAACCTAGGTACGGTTTTCAATGGCCTTTTTCACATTTTGCATTACAATTATCTCTATAGAAATGCTTTGAGAGATTGACAACTTAATATCCTGGTTATTATGAAAGAGAGTAACTCAAACAGAGACCATGGTCAATACAGTCAATTAATTATAGAAGATTAATTTTGCATAGGATCAGGGTCTTTGGTTATTTGAAACTTACAAATAAGCCAGCAGGCATCTTTTATTTCTTTCTAATGCAGCATGTCTTAGTTGAACACCAGCAAACAAACCAGTTTCACCTGCTACAGTTGCACTCCTAAACAAAATTATTTTTGGGAAATTAGTATAAAAACAATAACATATTAACAATAATAACAATACTTGAATTATGTTAACTCAGTATAAATATGTTATATTAATAAACTAATTACAGAAAAAATTTTGAAAAATATTAAGCAAGTACAAGTTTAATGACGTATCACTTATTGGAAACACTGACATAAACATGTACTGGAAGTAGCAGTGTGATTGATTGACCTTCCTTTAAACACTTACACATCCCCCTGGTTCTGTTCAAACAATGCTTTCATTTCCTCTAAAACCTGCCGAACACCCTCTTCCTGTAACAAGGCGTAAATCAATTCAATTTAATAAGTACAATACTACATTACTACAATGACAATTTACGATGACAATCATACATACCTAGTAAACACACACACACACTTCAGCACTTTCATTACCATTTTCGACATTCAGAATCGCTCCTATTCCATTATGTCGGTCTATATTTATTCGTTAGTTTGCAGCGAAATAACTTACATTGAAAGGAGGCAAAGATCCATCTAAACATCTTTGTAACTCTTTTATCAGTTCTAGAGCTTTTTCTCCGAACATCTTTTCTACAGGTGCTTCCTCTTCAAAACTTGCCTCCAAGAACCCCTAAAGTCAACGCAAGACCAATATTCATTGGCGAAAAGCGTGGCCTAATTTTTACCACCAATCAGCTGCCTTGAACAAAGTTGACCCCAGGTTGACCTATTGATGACAACAGGGAAGCGTGAGGTACCTCGTTTAGACGTTTATTTACTTTAAGATAAAATGCAATTAAGAAGTGGTTCAAAAACAAAAGAAAAAGCAAACATGAAGAAAAAAAGCACAAAGAAGCTTGATACGAGAAATGTTTCGAAGAAAAAGAGAGAAGAGGACATTACTTGCAGTCAGAGGTATGAAACTACAGCTAAGTTTATGCACTACTACTGTACTAGAACATGTACGTCAACTACAACCTCCATGCTAATGTATGTACTACCACTATCAGTAATAGTGTTTATTATCAATCAGTTAACTATTTTTATATTTATTGTGCAATTTTGTAGATTAGTCTTAGCATTTATATCTATCTTTATTTTAATAAAAATGCCTTGAGTTGTACTTTGTGAACGTTGTACTTATAAAATTAAAATGTTTGATGGTAATTTGTAAAATTGTGTTACTTAGATTAATGTCACATTTAGAGTTACAAGTATGCGGACCGTGAAAAAAGTACTCTCCCTCTATAATTGACTCATAGACATCATCTTACAAATGCACACAAATCCTGCGACCAGATGTAATAGAATAAATCTAATCTAATCTAACATCTATAGCTGGATACCATTTATCAGCTTTAAAATGTTAATATCATCTCAGTCTATAAACTAATGATGTTAAAAATACAAATATTATTTTTATGGATTTTTTTATTTCAGGTCTTGGTCAAACAAGTGTCTGAAAACTGTTGGAGTGATGCTATTTATTATTTATGTACTGATACCTGTGATAGTGAAGACCAATAGCTGGATAATGAGCAGAGTTGTGTTTTTACCAATGTGTAAGAAACCTTACAATTGCTTTAAAAATTATAATCTTAAAGTCTTAATAACTCTTCATTTTGGCCAAAACTTGGATTTTCCTGGAGTAAACGGCAGTTTTCCCGTACTTACCAACAACCCCATTCCTGCATTCAAAGTTAGGGTTTTTTCCCTAAACGTTTGGTTTTTTGTTAAAATCTCTTAAGAGATTTTAACTGACGGAGCACTCTCTGACATTGCATAGTCACGCAATATCGAGCAATATTTTCTGGTGACCTACTTAAAACCGCAGGAAAAGCAGACAACAACAACAGTATATAACAATAATATAAGATCATAAGATATATTCGTCTTATTGCTCAAAATGCATTTATGTCTACAATGTGTGCAGTTCTGGGCTTTTCGTTTTGCAACGCATTGTAGAAAAACTCGCAACTTAAGTCTGAGGATTGCATCACGCTTTTGGCACCATATGTTATTTTGGTCTCAAATGAACGTGAGAATCCGCATCATTGGCAACGGATGCCTTGACAACCGGTAAGAAAGGCATCGAAAGCCCTATTGACAAGCACAGATTTTAGTTTTACTATAATAACAGCTGTTTTAGTGGTGAAATGCAATATAATATATTTCCATGCATTGTTTACAATGTATTTCTTGCGGAATTTTGAATCTCAAAGGAAGAGTTATTATTGCTTTTAAGTTATTTTATTGACCACCTTTTTGTGAACTTGAAACTGCTAGTGTATTTATTATATTAAAAAATACCGAAAGTTAAAAGATTACCATATTAAATATAATTAAATAAACACAATGATTATGAGTAGTCTTTAATATTTACATATTTTGTTGGTGCATTGTTTAATTACCCTGTCACTAAACAGTTATAATAATTGGTCATGGTGGTTGCTGGAAGACAAAAATAATATATGTTATTATATTTATATATTTTTTATATATACTTAATTTTTCTTTATCAGCATCAGACATAAATGCATTTTTAAAATAACATTTTAGTTAGGCCTGATATGTTCAAAGATGTCAGCAAACCTGAGATGTATGGTTTAAACTCAACTAGGAATTTCTATATTGAAGACAATGGTGTTAAGTTGGGTGCTTGGTGAGTTTGGACAAAGATGTACCTGGTGTATGGTATATAATTCTGTATGGTTTTGATGATTCAGCATGTTATTTAAAAATATATCTGAGTATAATGTGTGTTGATATTTGGTGGACTATGAGAAGGCCATGGGGAAGACTGAATTTCATATTCTCCATGACCCTACCTTCACAAAATAAAACTACTTTTTACTATCATTGCTTGAATGCTGGGATGCTCATGGTTTTACCTGAAATTAGTCATTAAATATATGTTCATTTNTTAGTCATTAAATATAAGTTCATTTTCATGAAATGCTTGAAGTAAGATGAGGATCTTAATAATTCTCCTGTTAATTTTCTTTTGAAAGGATTTTTTTTGTGATCTGTATTTTATACCATTTTTTCAGGCATGTTTTGCCACAGTCTTTAGCTAAAGAAGTAGGGAACGAAAAACAGCATATAACTTCCCTTCAGGATGGAAAACCTATTATTTTATATTTACATGGACAATCTGGTACAAGGTATACATTCCCCTTCATTGTGTGTTCATTGTAGATGTTATTGTTCCTAATTAAATAAGATGCAAATCTTGAATTGTTGTATGGCATAAATAAAAATATGCATGTCACTACTCAAAAAGATGCTGCAATTTAGCCTGTTTATATGACCAATTGTATACGATTAACTATTTGAATATCACAATACAAAGATGCTATTGTTTTATTTATAAGTATGATCCTTTAATGTTTTTTTCCTTCTTTATAATTTCAAGGGGCTCAGGACATCGCATTCCATTGTATGCAGTGCTATCTTCATTAGAGCTTCATGTTATAGCTGTGGACTATAGGGGTATTTCTTTTACTGAAGTTGATATTTCCTTATATATTGTATCATATTGCATTAACATTTTAAAAAGTTATTGTGGTTTTAAAAGTTTTTCTGTTAATTCATAAAATATTTCTAAGTTGGGCTCAGGATACCACATGGAATTTTTTTAGAGATTATTTGCTTTGACATAGTAAAAATGAGAAAGGATTTAATTATGCAGCATAATTCATTTCACTTTTTAATTCCTGAACAAACTTCACATACCTATCTGTCAAATGTTTGTGTAGGAATTTAAAAAATTCAAAAATGTTTCAGCATGATTGATATTAATACACAATTTAACTTCCATCAAAAAAATTTTGGTCAATTAATTATTCATTAGGATAGAACTTTCTTATTTGGTTTTGAAAAAAAAATGAAATAGTGCTTTCTCTCTTATGATTGTAATTCTTTGAATAAATATGTATCCTTATATATGTAATTCAGGTTATGCAGATTCTGAAGGCCCATTTCCTTGTGAGCCTGGTTTGATAAGAGATGGTAAAGCTGCCTACAAGTGGATAAAAGAGAGATCAAAAAACACACCTATCTTTTTGTGGGGACATTCCCTGGGAGCTGGGTAACAATCTCTTTTTCTAGTTTTTTGCCAATTATGAAAGAGCAATATTATAATCACACGAAAGTTTAACACTGTCTAGGGGTTTTTAGTGGCCTTTTTTGTCTCCAGTTTTTTACATCTTGTGTTATTTCTTTTGAAAGCTTTTGTTGATGACAACAAGCGTGAGGATTTTGAACCTTTATAGAACTATCAGAAGATATTGCATTATATTGTTTGCTGAAATGAATTTGTTAATCATTCATTTCAGGGTTGCTACGCAGCTAGCCAAGGAACTGTGCAGTGAAGGTAAGGGTTCAGAATGTGTTAGGTGTGCAATGTGCTCTTCAGATGATGATTGTGCTATGTGCCAAGAGGTCTTGGTTGTGTTACACATCCATGATTGCTTCTATGCAAAATGAAAGACTGTTCAGAAATTGCTGCTTTATTTGTAAATTTATTTTTAAAATATGATTGATTTTTTTTTACATAAATGACTTAAAAAGTCATGTTAAAGTTTCTGTGTTAGATATTGTTTGCTGACAATAAAAAGAGTATCTGCAAAGCATATATTTCAGAAAAAACTTTCATTGAGAGTTGGTTTTTGGGAACCAAAATTTAGTTCTACTTTGAGCCAGGCAAATCAGTAGTAGTCAATTAAATGAAGGTATTGGTCATCTGCACTAAAAGCAAATGGCTTTTGACTTTAGATTGACATTCATAATAACCTACATATTTAGCTTTGATCAAAGAAGACATAAATATGACACCAACTTTGAACGAACAGGTTCATCCCTTGGACCTAAATATAGAAGGACAAGTAACGCGGCATCTTCCTTTGAAGCTATGTGCGTTCGGGTAAACATTCGCCTATTGTCTCGCATAATCTGTTTTGATAGCTCCACGGGCGTCTGAACAGCTTATTATCAAGGTAGCGCGCGCTGTGCTTCAGTGCATTTCTATTGTTTCTCTGCATTGATAACGCAATTTCTCGCAGTCCCTCGTGGTTGCTATGATACAGCATTGCCGCCATCTTGCAGTTGCGAGCACACAGGTTTCCGTCAACACGTGGAAATTTATTGAGGGGTTTTCGGCATTTTTCCCCGTTATCTCATAAAAACGGGGTGTGAAGTTTGTCTTCAATACCTGCTGTCTTTCCCTGACAGTGAGGTAGTCNAAAATTTTAAAAATTGGCCTGTTTCTTTTATGATGGCTCTGTGCTGTACAGGTTTGATTTGTTCATGTATTTGGCATTTAAACATCTTCAGTAGTCATCTTTGATTTGTGAGTTTTTGGTCTTTGTTTGTCTTTAATCTTGTTCCTCTGAAGTCTCGGTGTACATGTATCAGTAGGTTTTTGGAGATTAGTAGCAACGCCTTGTTCTACCTCCCACCGTCAATATCTTATCAGACTTCCTTAGAGGGAGTATTAACCTCCATCTTGATTACAACATTACACCTGTAATTTTGTAAATTGGTTGTTTGATAATATCTTCTCACCTTAGCACCAATCATTATTTCCCACAAATACCAATTATGAATTTTCAAATGCAGTGTGTTTATTTGATTTTCCCATCTATTTCGGGCTCAGTTATGCAACCTTGCGTGTAATTGAGATGTTTGGTTATGATTCAGTGCAAATTTGTGTAATTATGCAATCGTAATGCTACTTGACGTTTGTTTAGTGCACATATAAATTGTTTTACACCTTTTCTTTCTCCAGGGCTTCTCCATTTTACCTCTGCCATAAGGGGTGGCCCATGCGAACATAATAAGTACTGCTACCATTCTTAACAAAAGGCTCTGTTTCTCTCTTATTCCATATCAAATGTTGGGGTTACCAAGTCAGCAAAAATCTTGTCTAGTTCCTTCTCATTTTGTGAAAACATTTAAGTGAATTTTTTTTTGTTTGTTTAGTATACATTTCTCAAGAACTTCATAGTCTTCTATTTAGAGAAGTAAGTCTGGTGCAAGATATTTTCTGCATTTTGTAACAGGTAGGTAGGGGAATAGATAGAGAAATTAGGAGATATAAAGATTATTGAAGAGAAACTTGCTTGTTTTCCATTCCATTCCAAGCTCTGTTGATATTGACTCATTAAAGACAGTTAAAATACAGAAATAAACATTTTTCTTAGACAAAGCAATTTGAAAGCCAATTTATTTTAGACAAACCAATTTATTTTATCTACATTGTACAACTGAAATACACATAACTATCTTACTTTACATTGCCATTTTCATATCATCTAATAATAATGATGATTACAAAATCCATAAAATTCCATAATTGCCCAAAATGCTCTTTGTTGTCAAAAGGGATGCCACACAAAGCATGTGGATCAGCATTCTCTGTTCTTATAATTTATCTTCTGGTTTGACCAGTATAATAAGTATTAGTGGTCACCCTCTGCCTGTAATCACGCACACTGAAGGGTTTGCCCGGCGTGTCACCCTAGTTGTCGCCTTGGGGTCTTTTGTCCATGTTGCTACCTGCTAATCTATATTGTAATGCTAAGGTATGTAACGCATCATTAAGGCTCATTAAATTGTTGCTTGTCCAGACTTGAATGTGCTCCTGAACTGCTACTCTACTTTGTTTGTGCTGTGAAATGTAGAATATTGCACTTTTCATGCATATTCCCATAGGTAAATAAAAAAAATGTTGATGTAAAATATGAGAATTGTATCCAGAGAAATGGTGTTGAATGTCTGTCATAATGCAAGCTATTTCTACTTTGTGTTTATAGTTTTTATAGTTAGTTGATTTACTATAACTTGGATGTGCTGACAACTTAAAATGTAAGGCATATTTCTTTAACAATAGCTTCTCTGCCATAAAACTTGAAAATAAGGTGCTTGTGATTGCAGTGGTATGTGAAATTTTAGAGAATTTTTAGAGAGCACAGTTTATCAACAATCACATAAAAAAGATATAATTATAATTGTGTATCGTTGCTTCTCAGAAATTTTCAACTAAGATCTAATAAATGGAGTATATTAGATCTTAGTTTTCAAAATAGAGGATATTATTCTCAGTGAATTGTAATGGCAGATAATCTATTTTAATACAACAAAAAGGCAGGGGACTTGTATAGATAGGCCTGTTAGATAAAAGAACTTATGGAAGAAGTTGAAGGTGGTCCATTAGCACAGATAGGAGTCAATTTAGGGCTATTGTGTAATGAATGAAGAAATAGATTTGCAAAGAGGTCTGCCATTATAAGTCTACTAAAGACTTCCAGCAAGGGTACATCAAAGGAAGGAAGGATAAGAGTTCAGGAGCACTTAAGAATCATTTTGGACATAATTAGAATTTGATATGAAGGTGGATCCTGAAAGGGGAGGATGAGAATGAGCTGTGTGTACAGTACTTGATATGAGGAGACATGCAATTTCAATTTAGAGAACTGCGTTGGGTTCACAGCCACTTTGCCACTTTGGTTTGTCTGCATCTTAAGTGATAATACAGCGAGTAACTGGAAGAAAAAAAGTATCATGTTTGATATTTCTAAAACTTTTTCTCTTCTTTTTAGAGATAAGAAAATATGTTTTCACTTTGAGATGAAATATATAGTTATTTTTCTATTCAAAATACCTGTGACAATAACCTAAATGCTCTTGAAGTATTGTCCAAGTCATTTAAAGTAGGCTCTCAAATGAACATTAATGTGATAGGGCACTCCACAAGTTACACAACTAAGATATTCTAGCCAGTGGGACATTGGTTATAGTATATTGATTAATATGTGGTCATAGACTCTCGTGTAACCAGTATCGGATTCTGACTTTACTCAACTAAATTGTATTCGTGATTGTGTGACCAAGGGTCCCCTATGGAGTAAAATATGTGTTTCCACAATGCCGCGGTGACCAGTAATGGACAGGACCTGGTACTGGACAGAACCACCTGGGGAGGGGACGATTACAGTGTGTCCCCTACTGAATAAATACAACGCTATGTAAATACTTGATTTTGTGGTCAAGCCTGGTAAACTGTCCCCCTATGAAGCCCACACAAAAGGTGCTGCAAGATATTCTGTTTTATCTTAGGTTTAAGTCGTACCATTCACTGATTAATTAGGAGTTGATTAGCCATAGCCTAGTTGTGACAAAGGTTGTGTCCAACAAATGGAAACAATAAGTTAATGACAAAAGCAAAATGGAACTTCAGGAGACCAATTTAAATCTGTTGGGTTTCCTTTCTCATGGCATTAGAGTTCAAATGGCAACTATTACAATGGCATATTTTATCAGATTGTTCTTAAAATAGACTTAGCAATAAATGTTAGTAATCCATATGTGGAGAGTTTTCATAACATCAGTATAGATTGTTGTTCTGTATGTTTACAGACATGCAGCTTAAAATCATCAAAGAGTTTGTGTTTGTTTGCTTCCCAGGTTATGTTTGGTTGAATATATGTTTGCACTGAAGAATCTTTTAACACCAAGATTCGATTTTATGTATGTTAACTATAAACATCTCAGTGTTTGGTAATTCTATTTTAGTTTATTTATTTATTTATTTTTTATTTATTTATAGCATTTTCGTTTTGGAGCAGAGTTAATATTATTGAATTGTAAAGTCAAATTGAATTGACCCAACTTGAGAAAATGGCATAGTATCTGGATAAAATCTTGATTCCGAGTTAACTTTTTTTGGCCAAATTAATGGGTGTCTTTCACAAAACACCACCCCCCAATTGCCTTTTTGGTAGAAAATATGTTTAAGGATTTTCTGTAGACTAATTTTTTTATCAATATAAATCTTTATTTCAGTTTTTAAGAAATGAAGATTCATTTACAAGGACATCTTTTCAGCTAAATTTTTGTCACTAGTTTTAAAGTTTATTTATTTTCCAAAAAAACCTATTTGAAAAAAAAAATGAAATACTATGGAAGTCATCTTCTCACGTGCAAATGTAAAGTCAATGTGGTGAAATGTCCATATCATAATTTCATTACAGGTTTTTTGCTCTTTTAAAATTTTTTAATCTGTGTTATGTAAATAAATATAATTCCGTATTTTATTATATTTGTAGGCAGAGCTCCAAAGGGTATGATCTTGGAATCCCCTTTCAATAATCTCCGTGAGGCAGCAAGCAGCCATCCCTTAGGCTTAGTGAGTGTGACCAACATTGTTTCTCACTTGACATTTCCATTTCATTTTCAGTCATTGTGGTTATATTTCCAAAGTAAAACACACACTTTATACAGTATAATCAAACAGGCTAGGGTATGCTTATTTCTTCCTGATAATGTGGCATCTTTTTGGTTTTGGTATACTCTTAGTAAAGCCGCTCAGACAACAAACATCAAACAACACACATTCATTATTTTATCTGCACAAAAGATTGATACACATTGATAACTGTGGTAGATAATATTTTTGCAGTTGATTCCAATCACTTTCTTATATTTGTCATCTTTTGTTTTTCAGCTGTGGTGGTTTTTACCCATGTTTGAGTGGATATTCATCAATCCAATTGAAGAAAATGACATTCACTTCCAGAATGATGAGCAGTAAGCAAATTAAAGAATCAAACCACATGCATTCACACATAATTCCAAAAGTTGTGAAAAAAATTATTTTAATTGTATTATGATATTAATATATTCAAGGATGCACAATATTCAATCCAAACATCCCCATCTTTCCAACTTGTTCTAGTTGGTATTTCTTCCTGTTCAACTATTTAACCATTATATTTGGTTGGACTTATCCCTAAAGAAGGCAGTCCTCTACCAATGGTATGTAGGTGTATATTTTATGGGGCATGGGGAGGGAAAGGATTGAAAGAGTGGAAGACCTTGATAGATTACCCCTGAGCTGCTTACAGCATTTAGGTCGAGTTGGTACACAATACCCGTGTAAACTTCTGTGTCCAATGGTCATCAGCAAGAAGGATCGAAACAATTAGCGAGCCAGTAAAAAAGATCAAAGGGAAAAATGGGCTTCATTAATCTCTGCAGTATCTGCTTCTGTCAGGGAGTGCTGCCCTAAGTCCTGTTTCAGTAGCAGAACAACACTGAGACAATTATTTGTTTATGATTATTGTTCTTTAAGTGTTTTTTGCATGAAGAATGATATTAGAATGAAAATTATCTTGTGGTTAAAACTTAGCAGTTGGATATAACAATTTAAAAGAAAATACTGTTGCTGGAGCTTGAAATTCAGGTACCAATGTTACATTTGAAGGTGCACTTGCATCCATGCATGGGCAATTAGTGATTACATCTGCTGAAATTTTTTTTTTTTTTTTTTTTTTTGAAAAGAAAAGAATTATTCTTTTTTCAAGACCAAAAATCTTGATTGCATCCCCCCCCCCCCCATGTTATTCCCACATGAAGTTATTGGCATAGCATTCATCTGGATAATACAGCTATTTCATTGGGATTTTTTTTATTAAGTTTCTGGTTTCTTGGTTTTTGACTAAAATGGTGTTTTAAAAACCAGTGTGGCAAAAGAGAGGGAGAGTGGGGTAGTTTTTTTTCAGTTACTAATTAATAATTGTAAGCTACTCTTTTTTGGCTTACAAGAGAGTTAACAAAAGATTAATTTATTAAGTAGTCAAAAACTAACCAATTAAGAAAAAAAAATGATCTAGCTTTTTTCACAAAAAATTATTTTACAAGGGATATTAATTTTGATCAACATATCCCTGCTTTAGTTGTGCCCTTAAAAATTTCCATCTCCAATTTCTCCAGGGTGGTGAATTTTTTTTTTTTTTACTTGCCTTTGTTTTTATGTGACAGTCCGTTGTTATCCTGATAAGGAACCTTGCTCTATCTTAGACCATAATTATTGAAGATAAAAAGCTGCTTAACTGCTGTTTATTATCCATAAGCATCTTATTTACTGTCCTAGATGTGGGCAGGTCCTAGAAAAGGAAAAACGCTTTCTTTAAGTGGTCAATTTGAGTCCATTAGTCAGGCTTGTGATTGTCCACTACCATATCACGTGTCTTGTTTTTAGCCAAATTAAAAGAAGATATATATTTTTGAATATTAGTTGTATCCCTATATGTAAATTAAAATATTTTAAGTGACAGTAAACAAAATTTGCGTAAATTTTTATTACAACTTGTTCCAGTGTAAACTGGTAGTATCTGTTTCATGTGAAAATTTGAACATTATTGTTGATTTAATGCAAGTGCACCCTGTTGCCTTTGGAATAGATATCTGTATATTGAACCGATTCTTTCATTTGTCAAATATGGAAGAAAGGCAGGGGCCTTGCATTGTTATGTACTTGCATATTTAGTTCAAGTAAAGTCATTTGCACTCTGTCCCCTAGAGATGTATCTTTTAGGGAGGGTCTCAGTTTACTGGGCCACTGAAGCTAGTATTACCAAACTGGCAGGTTCATCATCATTCTTTGAAAATCTAGTGTGCCAACCTTTTCACCCACATATTATGATGCTATTGTCCAAGACCTATTCTTGTCCACTTTCTTCATAATAAGACCCTCTTTGTTTTTTGGCATTTCTAGACAAGCATGTTGATATTTCCATGGCTTGTTATTTAGAAACAAATGTATTTCACTTTAGGAAGAACAGCAGTTTCACCCCAGATAATGACAGTGATAAACCCCCCTGTTCTTGTCATTGGGTGACTTCATAATGATTGAATTACTTTTAGACTATTTTCTGTCTCTGACTGCTGACTGTCTGTGAGCCTGTCATTAAAATGACATTACGGATTGATGATGGGGTTATGTTTAGCATCAATTTTACTTTCAAATATCCATTTATTTGGTGTTTGAATTTTTGAATTTTGTCTAAAGGAGTATATACCAGTTTGTATTTTGTCTTCGCTCTGATGATGATTTATATGAAGCATTTTAGGTGATGTTAACCACAGGTCTTAATTTGTTTCTTATGGAAAAACAAAAATTCAAGGGAGGTTTTGTTTGGGCAGTAAGGGGGGGGGGGGGTAAACTGCAGGTTTTTATTGCATCTTTGTATAGTAATGGAAGAACAAAAAGTCAAGGGAGATCTTATGGGGGCAACCGGGAGGGGGGGAGAGTCAAACTGCAGGTACAGGTGTGATTGCAATATTGCATAGTAATAATACTGTATAAATATTTTTTCCTGGATATGATCACAGTTTTTTCACACTGTTACAAGTCTTTAAAAGCAGTCAGGAACCCAATGAAACAAAACACAAAGTGTGGGAATCTTCCAGGTTGATTGTTGTTGTTTATGCCCTTTAATATCAGTTTGTAATTTGTGGTTCTGAGTACATGCCATGTTGTAGATGCCACTGATGTCTAGTAACTAAAATACCAGGGTTTGTGTGCACATTATTGTTCATCCTTGCTATAATAAGAAATTGTATCAGCACTCATTCACAACAGCAATGTCATATCCAAGCTCTCAAAGCTGATTTCTTTTGTCATGTAATGTTTGTATTTTGATAGGTGTTGTCCTGTGCAATGGTACAACTTGGTGGCTTGAAAATGAACCCACTTATTTTAAGAATGCACTTTTCAACTTTGCAATTGGCCCCTGGCTGTCTGTTCTCCAAGTCATTATGAACTTCAAAAATAGGCCACCTTAATAATAACATACTTGAAATGAAAAAAATGATGTAGAAATAGAGAGCAAGATGTTTTGAGAAAAATAAGCTCTGCCNGGGGGGGGGGGAGAGTCAAACTGCAGGTACAGGTGTGATTGCAATATTGCATAGTAATAATACTGTATAAATATTTTTTCCTGGATATGATCACAGTTTTTTCACACTGTTACAAGTCTTTAAAAGCAGTCGGGAACCCAATGAAACAAAACACAAAGTGTGGGAATCTTCCAGGTTGATTGTTGTTGTTTATGCCCTTTATAATATCAGTTTGTAATTTGTGGTTCTGAGTACATGCCATGTTGTAGATGCCACTGATGTCTAGTAACTAAAATACCAGGGTTTGTGTGCACATTATTGTTCATCCTTGCTATAATAAGAAATTGTATCAGCACTCATTCACAACAGCAATGTCATTTCCAAGCTCTCAAAGCTGATTTCTTTTGTCATGTAATGTTTGTATTTTGATAGGTGTTGTCCTGTGCAATGGTACAACTTGGTGGCTTGAAAATGAACCCACTTATTTTAAGAATGCACTTTTCAACTTTGCAATTGGCCCCTGGCTGTCTGTTCTCCAAGTCATTATGAACTTCAAAAATAGGCCACCTTAATAATAACATACTTGAAATGAAAAAAATGATGTAGAAATAGAGAGCAAGATGTTTTGAGAAAAATAAGCTCTGCCATATGCATCAACCAAAATATGACTTCAGCAAACTTTTTGACACAGTCTTCCTTCAGTAGAAATGTTTCAAAAGAAACAAAGTTATTGCAAAATAAACCAGAAAATAAAACTTTATTCTATTTTCTTTAGATATTCTTAGAAGTTTATATATATTGGAGTTCTATCATTATTTCTTGTCTAGAGATAAACCTAAGCTATATGTCTTAATTGTAAAGCATTTTCAGTCTGTCTTGCTAGCATGAATGGCCGGGTACATTTCCCCCCCCCCCCCCCCCCAGCTTATTGTAATAATGCATAGACATGTACACATATGTTGAGTCACTTCATTAATGTGTTGCGAGTACATTAGTCCACTGATATGTTTTATGATAACATTAAGTCTTACTCACAAGGTAGTAATTTTGGCTTCCTCTCCCATTGCAGAATCATGTGTCTTAATGACAGGGTGTTATGAAGATTGAGGTGTACCTGTGTGTGTAATAACTGGCAGTGCATGAGTACAGGTGATCTTTGGAGCCTTGTCCTTGTTTGTGCCAGGCAGACCTCAATGCTCTACCACAAAAAAGAGAAAGATTGACATAGTGGTCCAGTTAGTGGTTGATATCAGCCGTCCATCTATTAACTTTGTGTGATTTTTTTCTTTTGTTATGTAGCCATTTCATCTGGGTGTTTTTATAAATGGATGGTAATCTTTCCTACATTTCTTCTTCTTCTCTCTTTCTCTCTCTCTTCTCCCACAAACTTTGTCTTTAGCTCTGTCTTTCTCAAATTTCAAAAAGGGAGATCTATATTACAACACAAAAAAGGCCCGCCGAATTTTTATGGTCAAAATGTTTTGCTGTCATTAATATTATAATTGTCAATAGAATTTTGACACAAAAGAAATCCATCTTACACGAAAATGCATAGGATATTTTTGCAAAAAGTTTGTATTGTCTAAATAGTAAAAATGATTTGGAATTTTTGTAGGACAGCATTTAAAATAAGACCTTTCTTTTAATTTTCTTGATTTTTCCCACGTTGAGGTATCAAAGAAAGGCTAATGAAACTTTTAATCTGAAAAGCAGTGTTGAGTCAGCAGATAATTGCCTGTCATCCCCTATAATTGAAACATTTTTTAAACATTGAAACACAAACAGGTGGAATTATTTTTACCACTCCTGTTTTATTGAATTACATCAAAAAATAATAATACTGGATTTTGCAAGTTCAGATTCAGTGATTTTTAATTTCCTTTATTATGCTGATGTCAAGACATGGCGGATTTGCTAACAAAAGCCCATTATCTATCAATCAAATTCAGCAGTGCAGAAAAATGTTCTACCCATACCACAATCCAAGATGGCAGAAAAAAATGCAAGTTGTATCCAGTTGTTAAATCATCCTCATAATATACAAATATAGACCTGTGGCCGTAAAAATAGTATTTCCGCCACTCCTGTTTTGTAGAATTACATCTTAAACTAGAAGTGGTTTGAATCAGGAAGGCTATTTGGAAATTTTTTTATATTTTGTATTGTGCTAAAGTTGTAACATTCTGGTTCCCACACCTACCTCTGACAGAGACCTGTGAATAGACCTGAATACTGAAAAAAGTTGTGACTTCTTGGTAGTGCTTAAAACAGGTGTTTAGATCATGGTCCATACCACTCGTTTCCAGACACCCAACAAAAAAATGGATGCAACTTTTCTTTGGGCAGTTTTTTTTGGGTATACAATAAAAATACTTAACAAGATATAAGACATTGCAAATCATGTAAACTGTATCTGTAACTTAATTTTAGATGGTATTTTTATTCATAATCAAAATTATTGCCAAAAAGTTTGGTAAAATAAAAAGATATCACAGCTGTTATAAATCTCCTAACCACATATGTAATTTATATTTAGTATTTTTTTTTCAAAACACTTCCTAGTTGAACTTTTTACTAACATCTAGGACCTATCAAACTTGATAGGTATTAGCGTTCATAGACTGAATACTGGACAGTAGGACTGATGTGGAAAGGTAAAGCACAAAGTCAACTGATTTCATGTACTGGATCCTTATTTAGTTCTCAGTTGCACAATATCCTTGTTCTGAACTTTCAGTAACTAGTGACATTAGACAAGTGACAAGAGCTGTGAACTATGATTATGCCACATCCCCTCAGGGGGCTCAGGGATATGAAGGGAAAAAACTCACCATTAAAACAATAAAGGAAGTATTTGATAATAAGGAAGTATAGTGACATTTTAAAAGAATACTTGTGTTTTCGTCTTGAGGGACAATGGTTGACGTAATTGGGGAGATTAACTTGAAGATAGGATGTTGTGAATGACTAACTAATCCAAAGAATTAAACTGGATATTGCAGAGATTGTGGTTTTCTTTCTCCAGAGTCCTCAGGTGTCTGATCCTCTTTGTCCCCAACTTCCGAATCTTATTTCAGTTGACAATGAGACATCAGAATGTGGTAAGTTAATGTTTTTGCAAATCTCTGACCTGCAAACTGGTGGCGGTGAGTAACTCTGGCGTCTTTCATGTCTCCTGCACTGCAGAGGTAGAACTAATGACAGCCGTTCTATAGAAAAGGACATAGTTCTAATCCACTAAGGCATCCTCCCTTCAAAAGTGGCTCCAGCAACACACCTGAAAGCATCACAAGTTTCTTTCAAATTGGAGAAAATTAACTAAATTGTTTGTGAATTGAGATAATAGTGCACTACGGGTTGCCGCTTTATAATTAATTCAATTTTGGGATATTGCTCTTCTGAATGAAACCTCATGCCTACAAGTGTTTTATGTGACATAGAATGTATTGTGAAAGAAGATTAAGAGTACAATGAGGCCAGGGTGGAGTAGTGAAGCCTATCATATCTGCTAAGTGTGAGCAAAGGGCAGAAGTTTATCTTTTATTATAGGAAATGAAAACATCTCTATTTTTTAAAGCTTTTTTTATTTCCTTTTGTATTACCTCATGGCAGGATATAGCTGTAAGACAGCTGCTTACGTATTGCTAGAGAGGGAGGGCCACCATTCCCTGAATATATCCATAATGTCATTTTATCACAATGTAAAATCTTCTTGAACTAATAACACCAACTACAAAATTAAAATACAACAACAAAGCACTTTCAATAGATCATACACAATGTATTACATAACATGACTGTTTAAATGATGTTTTATGTTTTACCACACTTATCCTTGAGTTGGATTCTGTTTTATGTATGTAAGATGATGTGAAAATTTGTAATATCAAATTTTGCAAGGTGTTATTACCTATCTTAGCAAAACAAATCTGGAAGAGACAGAAGATCTTAACCATCTGTTGTCCTTCAATCCTAACACCATTGTATGTTGAATATATCATAATAAGATAACCTGTCAAGTTATGTTGCACCAAGTTAGGTAGACTCAAGTTGACTGGAAATAGGACAGAAAACTCTGTTTACACCAGGCTTGCAGCCACTGGGAGACCCACATTGACCAACAGTCACAAAGAATCACCCTGGGGTTACAAGGTGGTGGGCACGTGATTTCGATAGTCTCCCAGCCCCCCCCCCCACCCCCCCCCCCCCCCTTCTCTCTTGGTTTCCATTACTCTTTACTGGTCGCCTAAGGGTTTGCAAGTGCATTGAACTGTTAAAAAACTCTGATCCAGTGACTCTGGATGGCATATCTAGGTCTCACAATTCTCAAGTCACTTTCTATGGGTCTCACAGGTCCTAATAGACTAAAGTTGCTTGGAATGTCACTGGTAGCATCCAGAAGCTAACTTTTGAGGAATTTTTTACTCACAAGCATTATTGCAAGCCTGTTGCAGTCATATTGCGATCAACAAATCAATGCAGGCTTAAGATGTGACCAAGTTGTGTTGGTGACTGCAATAAAACGACACAATAAGACTAAAAAGCAACCTGTGGCCAATTTTCTTTAGAGTGGCAGAGACACCGTTAAGGTAAACAGGCGACCAAATTAGATAACAGTCCAGACTAGTGAAAGTTGTTAAAAATTTGAAATTTTCATAGTTGTGAAAGAGTGAAGCCCAGTGTGATGGCACCTAAGCTTTATATCAGGGTGGGAGGGGGACTCTTTTTCTAAAAAAAGTGGGCCTTTTACCATGAAACCTTCGTGTACATACAGATCAAATGTAGATGTAGATCAAATTTTGCCCAGAGCAGACCCTTTCCCTGCTGAAAGTGGGGTCCATATAAACCCCCACCCCAGCCCTGGGTACAGGTCTAGAAAGTATGAAATGTTTTATCTCCACACTGTCAGCCAACTGGTATATCCTTACCACACTGCTTCTTTAAGTTAAATACGTGTATCATTATTATGCTGCTCTTGTCACTATGATTCACAAACCAATTCACACTGCTGTGCCTTGTGGTTATATAGTATCAGATCTGTGGAGGCTATTACCTGTACTTAAGTGACTCATTTCTTCCTCAAAAACTGTTTGATGTGTTCTTGTCCGTTTTTTCTCACCCTTGACAGTTAGAAAAATGATCATTGAGAAAAATTTTATGATTAAAGTCTGCTGCATTCCAACACTGTTTCCAAAGTTTAAAAACTTCTGAAAAAATTTCTATCATGCAACAATGTAGTTAACTTATTTTGCTGTGCTTAAGTAACATTGGCACCTAGCAAAAAATTCCTTTTTTTTTTTTTTTTCAACATAAAGGTACCTTTTCCACTATTAGTATTAGACATTTTGAAATATTTAAGGGTCTTTTTTATCCACTGTTAGTCAGTGTTTCTCTTCAAGTGGGTGCTTTTTTCTCATATAAGTGCTTGAAAGGCTACCAAAAGTAGGAAATAAAAACCGTGAGAGAAAGTGAAATTTATTTGTTGCTTATAGTAATTCCCACCTTATTCAAATGTAGGTGATGCACCACCCTGTAGTAAATGAGGGTATATCTTCACTTTGTTTAAGGGCATTAAGCCAAATTATTGGTGCAAATAATTGCACTGTTTTTTTATTACATTTTTTATAGTTTTCCTTTTAATACCCAATGTCATCCTTTTCCATTCATTTAAGATATTGTATCCAAATGTGTCTTCTGCACCATTTTTGTATGAGCTGCACTTTTCAATAATCAACCCATGTGAAATATCCCAGCCTAGTGCTGATAAAATAAATCCCAAGACTTGCTCTAATTGCCCCTTGGCCTCTAATGTTCTGCTGTACAAGTTCAGTACAAGACAAAGCAGGAGTCCTCCTTTCTAAATACAAATATTAAATATGTGTCTGATGCCAGACACTCAACATTAAAGTCTTTACTTACATTAATTGTCAATTCTCTTCCTATTGATGGTGCCACTCACTAGTTAGATAGGTGTATTAAACTACAGTCAGACATCTGAAAAACTTTTAATATCTAAATGGTATTTAAATAACACTATTTTCATTTTCCAGCATTTCTGCTGTGACATGTCCCATCATGATTCTCCATGCAGAGGATGATTACATGGTGCCTTATGAACTGGGAGTGAAGGTTAATTGTTTTCTTTTTTTTTCTTTTTTACTTTTTATATTTGCCTTTAGTACAAGTTCTTTGCAGTTAGTGAGTATGCCAGTTTTCTCACAAAATTTAAAGAAATTATCAGAGCAAAAGAAAATGTGAGGAGTGTTTCCATATTTATGATTTCATTGAATCTACAGGGAGTAACTTATTCCCTTTCAACTTTTTCCAGTTGTACAAGAAGGCCGTTTCCTCAAAAGAAAAAGGTGCAGGTGCAGTGAAGCTGGTTTCTTTTGATAAATCCGAGGGTCTTGGACACCGTGATATATACAAGTCTTCCAATTTACCAGCTACTTTGAGGTATAATTCAGTTTTTTGAACTGCTCAGTGAAAATAAACTGTCTTGTAATGCTGCAGAGACTAAAATACCTTGGTCATTTTGCACAAGTGTATTTGCATGGACCATGAACCTTATAATAGCATAATTTTTGTCATACATTTACTAGACAAAGTGAAATTCATGAGGCATGATGTAAAAGTAGTAGCCTATGGTTAGTGGCCTTTGGTTAAAATTTTAAAACTGCCCTGCATCTACAGTTCATATTTCCATAATTAAGGCACAAAATGGTTCTTGTAAAATCTGCACTTGGCAACAAGTGACACGAATTGTTGTTTGTTCATCATGGATAGTGGCAGTTTGCGTGTAGTGCGCCTGCTTGTCTCTTTTGACTTCAGGTTCAACCACAGTTATTGTATCTGCATAATTACAACCCTCTTTCAGTAGCATGTCAATCACAGGAAACTCCTGAGCACAAGTGCTTACAGTACATTCATTGTAGACCATCCTTAAAGTTATTGAAGTTCTGTCATTTGGGAATGTTAGGATTTAAGGTTTTTCAGTATGTTTTTTTTTAATTTTCCATTTTGCTTACTCCTTTATAAGAGTAGCTCATTTCTATCAGTTTAACAATAGTTATATCAGTTTAACAATAGTTAGAAGTTTACCAGTAAAATTCCTAGTGCATGTTATTTGTGTGTGTGTGTGTGTGTGTGTGTGTGTGTGTGTGTGTGTGAGAGAGAGAGAGAGAGAGAGAGAGAGAGAGAGAGAAAATCTCCATAGTAGAAAAAACATTCAGACTCTGACAGAATCATTTATGATTTGCATGTATGAAGAGAATGTCTGGTTAGTTTTTTGGTGATCTTTTTTATTTGCATAGTTTAAATTGGCCAGTTTTTTGCCCATCTTTCTGCCACATTTCAATAGTTTCTCCGTGCTGTCTGGTAAAGCCTCCCCTGCTGGTGTAGTCCAACCACTCCCTGCTCCTGGCATTAGTGTCTTCTGTGTTAGAATGTCTTCTATTCAGGGCTGACACATTACAACAGGACCCAAATTGGAGACTTATGGAGCTAGACTCAACAACTTAGAATGAACTTAAGTCCTAATAACTTGATTGAGATCTTAGGTATTAATATCGAAATAATAAAGGTCATTTTGCTTAGTTCTATACCTTTGCATGATGACTGATTCATATGCAGCTTCTCTGCTTACTTGATCACATCTCAGTGAACAAAACTATACAAATTGAACCTTCTTTCAGTGATGTCTATATTTCAGCATTCCATTTGTAAAACAGCAATATTGCAAGCGATACCATTGCAAGCTATGTGAATAACTAGTTGTTTTTATTTCTATGTTTGATTTTTCAGACAATTCATTGCAGAAACTTCAGGACAGAAGGCAAACTCGGGTCAATCAGAAGATTGAACTATGCACTAAAATTTTAGGAAATGATAGAACAAAGTTTTTTCTTCTTAATATTAAATCTAGATGTTTGTGTGTGTTTGTAGTACCCCGTGATTTAAATTGTTAAGATTTTTTTCATTAATTCTAACATTGGAAGAGAAAGGAAAGCTAAACCCGAACTGAATTATGAAATTATTATTTGCTGTCTTTAATTATTTATGAAATATATGGTATTTAAATGTCACAGTTGAACACTTTGAATCTAAGTATTTACAAACTGCTCATCTTTTATCACTGAATGATTCCATTTGGCATGAATTATTATATTAAACATTTTATCAAGAAAAGACAGCACCAGTAGTGATAAATGATAAGTATATGATATTTGACTAAATCAGGGAATATACAGAACCAGTTTATATTGACTCGATTGAGACCTTTTCTTCTCAAATTACATTTTATGTATTTATTGATTGATCAAATATCAGTATTAGTTTTTTTTGGAATCATCAATTTTTATCCTAAGCTTGCAATTACATGCACGTGCTGATGATTTCTTCATTACATTAATGATTTTACTTCTGTTTATGAAATGTGCTTAGATATTAGATTATTTTTCTATTAAAAATGTGTATGGTCAAATTTCTCTCCTGTAACCCTTATTTTGAAAATCCTTGTTTTCTTGGATTATTTAAGAATGTCATGTTGGTGATAATATTCACAATTATGTATCACTGGCCTTCTACAATGAATGTGCAATTATGTATGCAATTTCAATGCAATTTGAGAATAAAGACAAATTCATATAAATTCCTGGTTTGGACTGTTTATGAGAAAATTAATATAAAATCGCTCAAAAACACAACTCGTACACTGATTCAGATATGGAGTTCATAGACTTAATGCAAATACTTCTGGTAAACAAAGAAGTGTGGACTTGCACTCATTTGTCTTTCCTGATACCTATACATTTCTATTGGTCCTTGAGCAAGTCCAAGTAAACTGATAAATGAAGTAGCCAGTTGTGCAAAGTGGCAGATTAGTCTGAGGAGTAGACTAGTTGACACCAGACCAAGTTCCGGAGATTTCTACCTGGGAAGTTGAGTGGTGGGAATAATCTGCTGTATTAAGTTCAGAAGGATGTACTGCTGAATCAATGCTTCATCATCTCTAGCTGCAAAACTAGAAAGAAAAAATTCCTGTTTTAAATAAACTTTTCTTTTTCTTTTTTTTTTCTGAAGTTTATTTCTAAAAAGTCAAGTTTGAATCTCATTTCACATTTGTGAAAAAGATTAAAATGATGCTGAATGCTTTTGTATACCATAAATTTAGACTATTGTTCTCATGATTGACAAAGCTCTGTTGACCACAATGCCTTGCTAATGTCATTTCCTTTTTCTTTTTATCTGGGTTTAAGTGTTTGGATAAATGAAATTTAAAAATTCAATTTTGTTTGCACTTGGCCTTACGTCTTGAACACTGTGGAGTTGGTCTCTTTAATCTGTCAGAAGTCTGTTTGCGGGTCTGGAGACATTGGGACTGTTATATTCAAGTATGTTTTCATACACCTATTGCACCTCTATGTATGAGGATTATCAAGTACTATACAGCCTATCTCTCAATAGAAATAAAGATTGTTCGTGGTCGAAACATTAGGGTGAGTGGTAACTGCATCTGCCTTGTATCGCTTTGTGAATTTATCACATGAATTAAGCCTTGAGCCCCCTACTCTTCAAAACATTTAAAGAGAAATGTCATTAGAGAAAGCAGAATATCTTCCAGTCTTAAGTTGCTTTTAAGAGTTGCTCTGTATTCAAAATTGTAATAGAAGTGGAGACTGGCAATATTTCAGATATTTCCTACAATTTATTTTCCTTCAAAAAAAATGTGCTCTAAATATGGTTCCAAATATAAATCTTTGAAATGTCATTTTAAGGAATGTGTTTAATATTTAAATAGTTTCACACTAAGAATTCTTTTTATGAAACTGCAAAGGGACATTAAGAAAACCAACCTTTGTACTTTACTTCCCCCCCCCCCCATAAAGTTTTAAAGTAATCCAATTACTTTTAAAAAATTACCACAGTCAAATAATCAATATTCTCCTTTGTTTTATTTTAAATGGTTAAATGTTCAATTAACAACAGCAATTAAACAGCACCATGTGACAACTATAAAATTCATTTTGACAAGAAAAAGTATTTAACACAGTACAAAAGGTCAAAGAAAATGCTTACAACACAGTTATCAGCATATTCAACAATAGCATGCAACAACATAAAAGTAATTACTGACAAATGAGAAAGATTATCTGTTGAACATGGGGTCATCCTTCAGCATTTACATAGTGAGCAGCATAATTAATGAAAAGTATTATTGGTCTTAATTAAATTACTCTGAGATTCAGTGACTTAATGAGTGCTTTTCTCATCACGTGGAAGAGGCGAATTATTAACAATTAAGGCAAGATCAGACTGTGTTAGTTTTTAATTAAATTCACATCATCAAACAGCTATTTTAAGATATGCATCTTAATATCAATAATAAAAAGTAATGGAAATATAATTATTCCATGCTTTTAATTGCATTACAAACTCAGCTTCCTTAATAAGCTGTTCTTTTTGAAGTTTTTTTTTGATACTGTACTCTTACTCAAAATAACTTGAGGAATGGCAAAGTGGACAGCAGTGTGCCTTGAAGTTTAATATTTGCCTTATATATGCCTTATATGTATAATTTCCAACATATCATCTTATACAATTTTTTCAGTTTTTATCTTTCTGTATCATACGTATTTGCAGATCATACTAAACGAAGCATACCACAATCATGAAAGTAATTTCTGAAGAAAACATTTGGTTATCAGACATTCTTGAAGTTCTCCATGTGTTATGAGAAAATTAAAGGATAATCATGGTTCTAATTTATTTAATTAAATAATTTGCTTACTTTATCAGATTTAGGCACCATGCATTTTCAAGGTGTGTAATGAGTGGAAAAAGAAAGGTCCTGGATTGAGCTCTCTTCTATTTCTAAATTCTACTATTATCATAAATATTATTGTTATCATTAATATTCTTATTAATATTGTTAAGCATAATGCTTACCATTATTTTTCCATTGCTGGTTACTATTATTATTATTTCTCTTTCGTTTTATTATTTCAGTCTTTGACATTAAGCCAAGTTATTTATTGCAATCTTCTCTAACAGAGCATACAACACTTGTTAAAGTCATTTCTGATAGGGAAAATAATCGGTACCAATAAGATATAAGAGGCCAACTACTCATATCTACATGTGTAATTTCAAAATTAAAGAAAACAATGATGCATTTACTTCCAGTTACTTTCAAAAATGAAACTAATGAGTTTTATTACACTAATGGCCTTAACTTGCAAATTAGACAGAGGGTCATATTTTGGTCACCTGTGTCTAATGGACAAAATGGAGAAAATAAAGTTTGTTTTACATGTAGCTGCAAAAATTGAGTAAAATTAAAATGACCAAGAAGTTGAATGGCCATTCAATGGTTCTTTAAATGGGAAGCAATTAAAGCAGAATTCCATGCAGTTTCAGAGTATCTGACCGTAATAAGGGGACCACTTCCTCATCAATCAATAAATTATTTTTAAAAAAGGCAGTTGTACTGACGCTTTGATAGGTCGTTATTTGTATCCACCCATGTATATACAGGGAAAAGTAAACACTGTAACACACGCTGTTGATTGTTTACCGGTACCAAATTATGGGCTTGAAAGCTTATCGTTACTATATGGGCGTACAGTACTTGAGATTAAGGAGTAGTAATTACTGTCCGTCATTCCTTTTACTTTATCATGCAAATATTTTTAAATTATATGCATTTTAGACATACCAAACATGTATTTAATTTTTATGAGATATGGGTACTTGACGGCTCTTCCCTTTCACAAATTCAACTTAAAATTTCTGATGTATTAGGTATTATATTTTCTGAGCATACGGATGTACAGATGCATTAGTAACCAAGCAAAAACACGCTGCAGTCTACCGGTCTTTAGAACTACTAGCGCGCAAAGACCCACTCCTACTCCTGCTGACTCGCGCTCCCCCTGTTGCTTCACGGTCTATTACCGTTCGTCGCCAGGGGTCAGCAGCAGTGTATTTTTGGAGGTAAGTGCAAAGACCGCAAAAGTTCCGGCTGGCAACCAGTACACAATTAGCAAGTATAATAATACTGGATTGTATCTTGTGAAAACTCTGATGCCAAAGCGTCCAAGAAAGTCGCTTACACCCAAAACCTTATCAGTGTTTTCTTTTTGTGACATTCATCTCCACTTTTCTAGCTTGGTTTTATAGACCATGGTACACCTTGATATCAAGACTTATCAATGAAATTAATATAAAATTGACGTTAGTTTTAAAATTGAAAAATCAAATGCTGACGGAAAACGAACTCTTCGATAAGAGTTTTTTTTGTTTGATTGTGTGTAATGCCGTGACTATTCAAACAGATCTCTTTCTATTTCTAATCAGAGCGATTATTTTTTAATTCTATTGTGAATAAATCGTTTCATTATCAGCGTTACCGTTGGTACCAATAATAACAACCAAAAACAATTCCGCTCTAAAAGATATGACACACTTTTATTTCAGGAATCTAACGTCAGAATTCATTTTTAAGTCTGGAGGCACCTGAAAAATAAAAGTCTGGAGGCACCTGAAAAGTATGAACAGAACACCGCACTCTTTTGAGTGACAAGTGCGCTCATTGATGGTACATGACGTCACACTCTCTCTCAGCCAATCCGCTTTTAGGCTGTCATAAATACAGACTGACCCGTGCTCAGAGAGCTCAGTTGATGATAAGCAATTGCAGGTATCGCATTGGAGATATAACATCCACAGGTTTCAAGTTATTTCCATTGTGGAGGAAAGGTTGACCCAAGCTTTCAACCAACTCGACCCTTTGGATTAATATATCCCTTTGGAACGAGTCGTCAAGTGGCGTTTCTTCGCAATATAGGCTGGTGGAGTGGGCGAGTGCCCTCCGTAAAATATAGGCTGAGCATAGACACTCGTTGCAAGCCTTTGCAATAATAACTTGTATGTCACAGGTAGATTCTTAGCACTTCTCAACACGTAGAGTGGTATCTTAGTATCATTCTGGCGGGTGATACTTCGAGGACATCGGAAAGTCTAGGCAACTGCCCGACAATGCCGCCCCAAGCTCAAGCAATGGAAGCCAACTCGTACTCTCTGCCCGATGTTGTCGATCACGGACAGGTATCAATAGAAAGTGACTATCATTCCCGAGTAAAATGTGTTTTAATAGGAGATGGTGCTGTAGGAAAGACAAGTCTAGTTGTCAGTTATACAACAAACGGTTATCCCACAGAATATGTGCCGACAGCATTTGACAATTATTCAGGTAAGTTTTTTATGCATTTTTAATAATTGTTTTTCTTGCTCCTAATACTTAGTTACTTAGCTACTTCACAGTGTGGTCTAAGACAAACCCATCGAAGTTGGTGTTCATTGAACTAAATAAATGTTATCAGAGTTAAATAAAAATCAAAGTTGGGTGTAACTGAAATCTATAAAGTGTATTCAACTACTGTTAAAATGTATGCCACAATTCTTTTCAATTTAAATAGGAAAGTTTTTCAATAGCATGGGTGGTTATGTGCTAGTTGTAGTTTTTTTGCTGACGGAATGAATGGGTATTGGCTAAAGCTTTTGTGTGTCACATACACAATTTAGTGTATCAGTTTAATTCATGGCTTGTTTTCTCAAAACAAAAACTGAAAACATTATGCTAGGTGGTCTGCCCCTTGTCAACTTTCCCACAGGTTTACACCTGCAAGTGCTGGTTGACTTTTCTTCAAGGCTTTTGTTACAATTTTAGTAAATAAACATTACTCAATGCTTGTCAGCTGCCCATTCATAAGCACATGGAGGGTTCCCAATTCCCTTTCATTCAGAGTTTTCAGTATTTGACAACCGAAGCAAGACTGATACTTTTTCAAAACAGTCCTTATTGCTTTCACACCCTTGAGGGAAAGGGGGAAGGACTGAAAGGAAGACTCGGGGATAATCTGAAGATTAGCCTATTGAAAAAGTATCATTCATTTACCTTAACTATTTAAAATCAATGAAACAAAATTGGCCATCATGAAAGGTTGATTTATTTGAGGCAGGAAAATCTGTTTTCTCAAGACCTGGCCTTGGCAAAGCCATCAATTCACTTTTTTCCTCTGGTTTATTGACTGATTAAACTAAAACTTCTGCAGTCTACAACTTTTTCTGGTTCAAAATTCTTGTCACAACAGTTCACCTGCCCTTTGATATCAGGTGACAAATAATCGGGACGAATTAGGAGCCCACCACTGATTCATACTTCCCATGTGAAGGTAATTTTTATCCAATTTTGTTGTTGCACTTTAAATGTGAATAAGATATTACAGTTTTGTAGAAAGTTGGATCAAAAAGAAAAGAAAAAGGCCCCCAGCATACGTTGAGTCCATCAATAAAACCGTGTATACCAGTTGAACAAAAATAATAGAATGACTCACCAGGTGGAAGACCTGTCTGATATTGGATCATATGAAATGAAGGTGTGCACACGTGAACTGTGTGTTACCTGCAGACTTTTTGTATCATCTTTTGAGCCAAGCCAACACTTTTTTGCTGGGTTGTTATTCTTTTTTTATCATTATTGGAAGGACAAAACAGTAGGAGATAATATAATGACACTTATAAGAAACACTGAAAGGAGTCAAGCTAGAGTGCATTGACTTCTACAGAATTTGCTGTAAATAAAGTTAGGGATTTTATAACTAGATGAAACATCTGTTGGTGAAAAAAAAGCTGAAAAATATATCCACCTGCATGAAGCAATGAGTAATACACGGTATGGGGTAGAACCTGCCACTTCACAGTCAACCATAGCCCATTATACATAGGCTGCACTGTGTGCATTAAGTTAGGGGTCTTTGACAATAACTGTACTGTTTCTCATATATTTGTCTGTCATGCAACCTTCCTCAATGGAAGTTCTCATTAGAAGGCTTGCTTGTACAAGTCTGTTGCATGTCGAGTCCAGTATTCCAGTCATGCGAGCAGCCATTTGTTGCTGTTATACCCATGAACTGTGACCTAAAACAAAAGAAGAAAGGACGCTGACTGAAATCTTACAGCGTTTATCCCTTTTGTACAAATAAGCATCCATTATAGTAGTTATTAATAACTATGGGTGTAAAGTTTGGAGTTAATTTTGTTGGATTTTTGCCTCGTTATATTCATAATACACTTCCTGGGAAGAAAATTTAGTTTGCATACTCATCAGATAGAATAAAATTATATGCAAAAATTATAGAGTGGACGGAATACTGGTTGACCACCGGGGTTTGACCATCGGTGTAAGTTTACCCTTGAGGCAAATGTCAATGTCCAGATATATAGTTTGTAAACAGGACCAAGTCATTCCTGTCAACACACGGACATCAATAAAATATTAATGTTGATGTATTGTCTCTGTTTCAGTTGTGGTCAAAGTAGATGACAAACCAGTCAGGTTACAGCTCTGTGACACAGCAGGCCAGGTAGGTGTAATGGTTGATATTAAATCACGTCTGTGTTAGTTGGTGTCACCTGCGATGAGTAAATTACCCATCTCCTTAGTGCCGCCATATTAACATACACTGGATAATTATCATAATTTTGGGTCTTGCAGTGCATGTTGTGCACACTGGATGTATCTAAATTAAGTGTTTGTGAGAGAGCTTCACACCTGGAGCTCAGGGATGGTTTGTTAATGTATAAACAGAGTTGTGTAACTGTTTGTTATGTGCATTTCATACATGTTTGCATCATGATACATATTGAATATCACACTGAGCTATAGCATTATACCTCTTTGCTTCTGATCAGTTTTGAAATATAAGTCTTGATCAGGTTGGCATTTGAAGCACTTTGAAAAAAAAACTACCACAGGTACGAATAAACCACAAAAAAGATTTCGTTATTTCTTTGTGAAGATGTGTATCAAGCAACATGTTTGAGGTAACTTGGTATGAATATGGCAGTCTGTTAAGTAATTTCTTTATTCCTGTATTCTGAACCTTAGCAGTCTCTTAAATGTATTGGTCTTGCTGCAGAAACTGTTATGTCACTGAGGCATTCAGTGTTGTATCTATTTTGGGATGTTTTCTTTATTGGACAACTGAACTTGCAAGCAAGTTATATATAACCAGGCTCTAGTGCAGCAGTTGTTGTTGCTTTCTGCAAAATGTTTAGTAGGAAAAAAACCACACCTGTTGATTTTGAATTCATTTCATAGCCAGCATTTTATGTTTATGTCCTATTTAATCTACATCACACCGGGTGACCCAGTTAAGGAGTGGGGAAGTTAAGTGAGTCCAGGTGGTATAAATTTCTGTTTTCAACAAAACCTGTTAACATTTTCTTATATTTCCTGGTAGCAACATGAACTCAATTTCCTAGAAATATGAAAAATTATTTGATTAGGCTCTTGGAATCCACTGTTAGAGAAGCTGAATTGTTCCCGTGGAAGTGATATTCCATTTTTCTACCTGGTACCATATGTTATTAAGTTTCTTGCCAGGATATAGGAGCATCAGAAAGATGGAAAGATACAAAATATCCTGTCTGAAATTATATCATCTCAGATGCTTTTGATAGGCAGTGTGCCTAATGAGTTATCCTGAATTTTGGCCAAGATTTATTTTCAGTTCTTGGTGAAACCGCGATGATTACTATTTTTGATCCTTTTCACGTCAAGTGATTACGAGACAAGTCCGTAAACAGCAGGACCGAACATGTACTTATCTGCCTTATTCAGTAAATGAGTAGAAGAATTGGATTGGATTATTACATGACTCCTGTCAATGAAGAATCTTAGTGAATGAACAGTTTTCTTTTGTGGTTAGCTAATCGTGTCCCATGCTGCAAATTGCATGAGGGAATGAATAAAACCGTGTGCACTTGGTGGGCTAGAGTTACTACTGGGTGAAGTCGGATGCATATTATGATATTAGCCACCATGCTGCGATACATTTTGAATATATATATAAATGACAGGAAGATCAGAGCACAGTCATTAACACATCATATATGTTACTGCATGTTATTGTCCCTGCCCCGCCTTAAACTTGTACAGAGATGTATGGGAAGGGCAGGGCATGATATTTAGTGTTATATTGCCTGTACCCCTACCCCACTGTGCCTGGTACCTGAGTAACCTTAGAGCAAGAAGTTATCTCAGACATTTATAAAGGAAGTGCTTATTCCAAAAGTATTTCTTGTAATGTATAAATTGTTTGTCAACCTTGGTCTTACATGCTTTATTTTACCCCACCTTATACATTTCATGTGCTAAAAAGACTTTTTGAAAAAAGTCTTTCAGGGGTCCTCACTTTTGAAATGTCACTCCTACACAGGAGGTCCCCATTTCTGTTTGTGTATTTTTTTCTTGTTTTGTAAATATTACTGTACTATTTGTAGAACCCCAAGAGTTTGAGGCTTTTGTTTGTCTTTGTGGTTTTCCTTTTGTTTTGACTCTGTAGAAGTTTGCACAGACAGTTCCCATGCACCTGTGTACGATTAAACAGCTAGTAAGGTCATTCTAGACTCTATTGGCCTTGAAAAAAGATTATGAATATTAAGCAAACATACGATAAAATTCTCATATTTATTTCCCTAACAATTTTTTTTACACAAAAAACAACGTTACACGTGAAATAAGCCTGGCAGTCCTATAAAGTAGAGTGCTGGAAAATTTGAAAGTTGTTCTCTATTGACTTAAGGAGTATTACCGTCCAATGTTGAATGGGAAATTTTGATTGATTATCAAAAGATTGATGACTGTTTTTGAAACCGTTATATTTCCATTGCCGTTACTGATTGCTCAATCAGCTCTATATTTATCATGGCAGCCTGGTGATTACTGGCTGATTCATCATGATCAAACCTGCTTAAAAAGTAACCAATCAGTTTGATAAGAGGTAAAGGTAAAGGCCAGGTATGTTTGTTGTGTGCGAGATTCATCTGATTTTCGGCCAAACTGTTTGTACATGTTACCTGTCTAACTGGCTGCCGGTCACTTAGTGCTGTTGCCTTGAGTTTCAATGGTATTACGTGGTTTTGAAGTGACCCGAGCACCGCAAGAATGTAATTGGTGCCCACTGGTCAACAGGCACTTTTTGTCTTCGGACCATTTAGGAAAATACTGTAACTTTGCACTTTTGAGATAAACTTAAGCCAGGGCAAACTGGCCTTGTTTAGTTTCCATTTCATCAACTCTGGACAGTTGTAATAAGTAAAGAAGGGCGTTTTCTCTTATTTAGCGTTAACAATGACCACTTCTCGTCTGATTGCTTCCATTCTTTTGCAAATGCAGGCTGCCATAGTACACTGGACCCAGCCACCTGATCTCTACTTGAGAACACACAAGGCGAGCCACAGAGTGCACCAGACTCTCTCAATAGGGCACTGCCTTCCTATAACATTTATACTGAATCCATGTTTTGTTTTTACACCTGGTTTTCTGATGGTCCGATTCTTGTTGAGCAAGAAATCAATGTATTGCTTGTTGTACCTACACAGAGGGAAAGAATAACGGAAGTGAAAAAATATTGATTAAACCCCTTAAAGAGAATAGCATGTGTTGACAATTGAGTACTTGTGGATTTCCTCTCTCCATTTTTGGTGTAAGTTTTACAATATATGGGAATGTGGGTGACAAAACAATTGCCAGAAGCACATCACTGTCTAAATAACTTATGGTCTATCAATCTTTCCCTTTTGCTTTAATACAGAAGGCTGGTTTTTGTTACCTGGTCTTTTCACCATGGTCAACCAGGAAACATCACACCTGCAAATTTGACATGGATGTTGTTTACATGGATGGTTTGGTTTGTGGACAATTTTTGCCCTGCACAATACTACATGATAGGTAAACGTGGGATGGCATTTGTACTTTTTGAGAAAAGGTACAAAAAATTGCTAGAACAAAAATTGATTGTTCCTGTTAATCTTTTTTTGTCTCTATGTATGATTTGACAGCTGGAAGATCTTTTTTTTTTTTTTAAGTGAAGCTATTTGAAACTGAGACCAGTGTGTTTAATGTTACTTTGGGTTGTAGCTTTGATCTCATTATTCGGTCTCATTATTGACTATTGATAGAATGTCCCCCAATTTAAGAAATTGGAGAAATAAGTATGTTATTGAGAATAGAGGTAGCGGCCTTGTTTTGGACATACAGGCAGGAGACTTAAAAGCAGGTGACAAGGGGCGGTCACTTTTCCGTCTTTGATGAGTGATCTTCTGAATGGACTGGGTTGAGCGGCCTCACCTTTTAATATCAAAGTGTATTGTGTCCCCATTGTGCCAGCAGTGTTTAGTCAAGTGACTTTGTTTGTGGAGGGGTGTCACCCTATGAAAACTGTTTGAGTAACCAAATCTCCCTCTTCATGTCTGTTTACCATGAAAACAGGGGCTCACTTTTTTTTCTCACTCTGCTCCTGGGGCATTATTAAGTGTAGACCCCTGAGTCAAAGGCGGAGGTCAGTATTGCATGGACGTAGTTATTGATGTGATAATGCAAGGTGTTTAAGGAGTTGGGGTTACTCAGTGGCAGCCCCGAGGTGGTGTTAATTTTGTTGTCAAGATGATGACAAAAATAACTTGAAATATTGAATACTGCCTGTGATAACTTGCAATCAGGCATCTGGTAAACAAGAATATGAAGCCATAGATTTCCACTCATGCACCCACATCATTCTTATATTATCATCTAGGTTTGTATCAGTGTTGTCCTAATCACCAAGTCTGTCTCTGAGACACTGTGTAAATTAACAGCTTACAGAACAGGTAGCCACAGATCAATGTATTCATTATTATCAGCACATACATATACACACAAATGCCTATAGATTTCTGCACTTCACAGTGGACATTTTGGATTATTAATGGCTTCTCCAGGGTTGTCACTGTGGTTATTAGTAGTATAAAGAGATATTTCTTGGTGTGACTGAACTTCATTGATTCCACCCTCTAGATGTCTTTCCCAATAAGATAGGTATTTTGGAGGAGATAAAGCACCTTAGGAGGCGTAAATCTGCAATCGGAGAGTTTATAAACTGTGCAGTCAGTAGATTAGACAGGAATGTGGTGCAGAAAATAGTGGCGTGATAATGCTGATAAGGTTTTGAAAATGTCCAAGATTTACAACGGTTTTACCATTGAGTATGAAGGGATGGAAAATAGAATTTAAAAGCTTAGTATTTACCCATTGAGTTGTTTAAGCTCTCCTTTGCATTGAATTTGAACAATGCTGGTGTGTTTGTTTGTTTTCATTTTGAGACTAATTTTAACACCTGTCCACAAATGGGGCTTAATCAATTTGACAACTAAATGTGAAACTGGTAATTGAACTTGGCAAGCTGTCCATAAGGCATTGAAACTATTCTCTTATATTTCTATAAGCATAGCATTGTGTCATTTTAATTAGCTTAGAGAAAGTAGTCTGTGTATAGTATGTTGATCAGGTACTGTGAAATGTATTGCTTGATTTGATGTCTAATGCTTTGAACCAGTGGCCCTCCCTGCCCCGTAATTCAGTTGAGTTAAATCAGTAAGACCCTAAAAGTGACCCTACCTTTAGTCCCTCAGCATACCTGAGCATGACTGACTGGACAATTTGTACCAAATTAAAACATGCTTGACCTAAGGGACCTGTTGCATCTTTGCACACCAACAAACTGCAGACAAAAGATAGGCATTGAATATGTTTTTGAATGTAATGAAAAAATGTGTTCACTGTGTATTTGTTGGGTGAGTGGGACCGATGATGGTGTTTTTAGCCAGAAAAGTGGTTCCTGAAAAACATGCATTGTTCACAAAGGAAATACACCATTTCACCAGGCACTTATTCACTGACATCCAACAAAAGATTTTCCGATTTTATTTTTATACAATTACTGTTCCTGTTTTATTCTTCTTTTGTGTATATTTACTGCCAAAGCGGGCAATGGCTCTCTCTCTCTCCACATGCTATTATGTTTCATAGCACCTCTCTCATTTTATGGACAGTTCAGTACAAATGATTGTGTTTTGTGTCAGAATTTATTTATAATTGAGAATTTATAGGATATTTATTTTGCAGTAAGGATGTTAAGTCATTCTACTCCTCCCAATTTTATTCACTGTCAACACAAAAGATTATGTGTCTATAAAATTGCGTGGATACACCTTAGTCACACACTTCCAAACTTCATAAATACAAGTTGCATAATAACCACACACTTCAGTGGTTTGCACTCTACACACCATGTGGAATACAGACCTAAAGCGGTAGAGAAGCAATGCTGCTTACATTAAATTTGTAGTTCTAAGTGCTTCATGATTGAAATGCCAGTGATCTATGACTTTCATTTTCCTCAACACCTGTTATATTTGATTAAAGAGGGGATTTTTTTACACTCACAGAAAAAGCACAGTTGAGTGTGTTTTAAATAAATTACACGAGTTAAGATTATTCCTTAGAGTTAAATGTTAAAAGAAATTTTCTTCTACTTAAAATTTTAATCATGATGTATTGAAGTATTTCTGTTATCTCTTTACAGGATGATTTTGATTCCTTGCGGCCTCTCTGCTACCCAAACACAGATGTATTCCTGCTCTGCTTTAGTGTGGTCTCTCCCACATCATTTCACAATATCATGGACAAATGGGTGCCAGAAATTAGAAAGCATAATCCACACACTCCAGTTTTATTAGTGGGCACACAGTCAGACTTAAGAAATGATGTGAAAGTTTTAATTGAACTTGCGCACTACAACGAGCGCCCAGTGACTGAAACAGAGGCAAAGGAGCTCGTGGACAAGATCGGAGCTGTGGAATATATGGAGTGTTCGGCTCTTACACAGAAACACTTGAAGGAGGTTTTTGACTCAGCGTTGTTGGCTGCCTTAGACATAAATGGCAATATCAAAAGACAGAAGTCTGGTAGCAGGCGATGGAAAAAGAGCAAAAAAAGCAGTGACTCTGTTGAGAAAAGGCAACAGGCCCAGGGCTCAGAGCTGGCCAAAAAGAAAGGTTGGAAAAAGTATTGCTGCTTTGTATGATCCCACACACACAAAATGGTGATGTGTTACTGCCTGCCAACCCAGCTCTTGTGAAGTGTGAGTGATGTAAGGAATTCCTTATGGCTCCAAAATGGCTTAAAAGGAAAAGTGCGTGTATTGCCTTCACCCGCCAGTCTTGTCATGAATGTATGCCTTGCAATAAAAAAAGGGCTGCACATAGCATCATCGTGACATTAAAGGGACATAACAGAGAGCCTCAATTACATTCTTGTTTAGCACTCTGTAGCAAGGAATGTTTATGTGATGGATGGGATGTCAAAGATGTCCCATTGCATCAGTCTGATTTTGAATGATGCTTACAGAATACGCTACACCTAAAGACATTTGCTCAAAAAAAAAAGAGGTGAAAAACTAATGACAATGCTGTACACGATGTGGTTTTTAAGTGACTTTGCTTCAGAGTTGTGATGAATTATTTATTTGTTTCTTATTATAATTACATTGTTAAATGCTATGCAGTCATTTGTAAGTCTTATCTCTGTTGTTTTTAATCTGAGGTGTTGGTTGTGATCAGACACAGTAGGTGACTTTATTGCCCACTTCATGTTAGCTTGTTTATCATATAGAAGTAGGTCATGGCACCACCATGAATATTTTTACCTGTAACACCTTAAGCCTGAGAAAGAGATTGTTAGATTACAAAGGGGTATCCAGTTTAATATGTGTATATTTGCAACTGAGATCTTTTCAAGCTGGCTTTCTGACACAGACAGGCCTGGCCACTCCTCTGTGTTCATATCATGTCAAGTTGAAAAGAAATGGATGATGTTTAAACAGTTTTACCAGCTCAACATCAGGGCTTTAATCTGTTCTTCAGTCTGTCAGTCAGGGTGGGTTTTGTGATCTTGTGAGCTATAAATCAAGGTCTGCAGTGAGGATGGTTTGTGGCTGATGCACACAGCTAGGTATGTTATTACACATCAGCTCTGCTGTCCAAGTGCCCTGAGGTCATCAGTATGACTGTACTGCACTGTGTGATCTCCCCCCCCCCCCTCCCCCATGTGCTTGGGTGTAAAGGTAAACTTGTTGGTAAAAAATCCACATTGTCTTTGACATTATCTTATCAGGTCAGGTGGGACTTGTCATGCACAACACGGGAATAAAGGTCTTGTACTCAGCAACACAGTAACGTAATCAGCCAGAAATATTGCCTAGATATATTGAATGATAGCAGGCCTGTTGTTTAACATTTTTAGTTTTTTCATCATAGAGGCAATGTGTATGAAAAATATTTTATTGCACAGCAGATATTGACATACAGAGAAGCCCACCATTTGCTTGCCATTTCTTAGATGTACAGTTTGTTGATTGAAGTGATAGCTAGTTTACATACAACACCCCACTTGGATGCTCACATTGAAGGTGTTTGTATTGATATATAAGAAGTGCAAGAACACAATGTGCCTGGTGGAATCCCAAATATTTTTGTGTTATGGGTTAGTGATGAACCACAAGAGGTCTGATCATAAACTTTTTTCTATTTAGTCAAGTGTTTCTAGTCAAGTGAATATTCAGTGGGCTGTGTGCATGCTTCTGGTTTTAATTTATAGAGAGGCAGAAATATTCTAACACTGATCAGTCAACTCCAACTCTGCCCCATGTTTATTTCCACATCAGGCCCAGTCTAACTGGGTGATAGAATGAGTTATTCAGCTAATATACCAAATCACCCTTTCTCTGAATGAAAATTGCAATATTCTTGCCTGAAGTAGAGGATAAAATTGCTCCTAAAGCAGCTTAGTCTTGGTGAAGTGCATGAATGCTCATCCTAAGTAGCTCTTTTGTTGGCATTTGTTTTATTGGCATGTAAGCGATTTCAAAATTATGAAATACATCATTTAATGAAATGATAATCATTCAGGGATAATAGGAGCTCATATCTGAAACATAATCAACAATGAATTTCTTTTATGTGACACATTGTATTTTTCACTGAAAAACTTGTTGAAAAGAACTCTTTTTAATCGCAATAATAGAATATTTGTTCAGGAACTTTATTACATTTTTTTCAACAGGGCTTATGTGAATGTAAATACCTGTTTGTACTTTGACTGAATTTATTCAAGATAACAGATCCCTTTGAAAACCTGCTCCATTAGATTTTTTCACTGCAGTACAAATTTGAAGTATAATTGAAGCTGGAAGTTGTAAAAGCAGTATTGAGGTTTGAGCAAATAATGAAAATAGATTGCCGATGAGAGCTTCATTTAAAATTGTCATATATAATCGCAAGTAGATTTCAAAGTGTTCCTAGTTGTTAATTTGGTTTATTTTCTGAAACAAGACAGCCACAGCTTGGGTGTTGAACTTGAGTCGGAAAAAGTTTGATGCAATAAAACTGAAAATTTTAAACAAGCTCTTGTTATTTCTTCGCTCTGCAAGTGCAAAGGTTTATTATGTAGACATATTGTCCATGTCTATCTCATTCCCTCTCAGCAATATGTGTCATAGGGTGTGGAGAAATGAAGTAAACAATATAGTCCTAATACAGTCACCAAATTTATGACATTACCTCAAACAGCAACATTGTTGATAACAACGCCTACTTTAAAAGTACTTGTCAGTTTGCTACTGGCTCTACATGCTGGATTAAAAGAGGGCAATTCAACACTAGAGAACATCTGTACCAAACTGCACGTATGCTTGAATAATGCAAAAGTGCCTGGCATGCTCATTTCTTCAGTCCTAAAACAGAATCAAACTTGTTTAAGACATTTCCAAATGTTTGGTTGCGTCTAACAAGTTGACCATGTGGTAGAAAAAAAAGATTTATAATAATATGACTGAGAAGCTTTTATGTCATTGCCCAACTTTCCAAAGTAGATTGTTATTAAGTTGAAAATTTCAAATGCTTCACTCATTCCAGTATTAAACTTTCTCCAAATATTCAGTTACTAGCAAAAATGGACTTTCTGACATGAAGCCAATTCACTGAACTTATTAATCAACATTTCTAAGTATTATTGACAATTTTTTTTCAAGAATATCATTAATACAGTTTACTTGATAGTAATCAGTAAGCACTGCACTTGCATTTCATCCTCATCCACGTTTGAGTATTTATATAATTTTGATATAATATGTAGCTGGGTTTCATTTCCCAGATTTACACCTGGTGCCCTCCTCAGAGGTCATGGTTGGGTCAGTTCCCGAAATTCATCAACAGTTCTACTGTCAATAAGTCATCAGTGCCAGCTGCATGCATGGACTGCATGTATATATATAGTTAAGCAGGCATGACCTCACTGAAGTGCACTAATTTAATAATGAAAATGTTTTCTAAGGAGCACTTAATATCACTGACTGTCTCATTCAGATAGCATTTTTAACCAAGGATGGTTTTATCTTCACTAAAAATAGTCCCAAGACAAAGAAAGGAGCAAAAATAAAGTAAAAAAAAAAGCAAAATTAGCTATGGTTCATGATGAAAGTTATTAACTTGACTAATTGAGGAAATCTTTTCTGGTTACTTAATGCAGCTTCATCGTCAAAATATTCAGTAAACTTTCAGCCCGATTCACACAATATACTGCGAGTAAACAGGATATAAAAACCAGTAAAATTTTTCGTAAAAAAAATCTGCTTATCCAAACAAACTAATAAAGGCTGATTTCCACATTTACAGTTCAGTTGGTGTAGGCTTTACTTAGCACTGCACTATATCAGCAGTCCATGTGATTCAGATTTCTAACCATAATGAGTCAGTCTAATCTCTCTTGTCCCGCTAGCTACCTACCCTCTACCAGGGCCACAGATTGATTTTTCACTAGATATTTACAGATGTGCCACTGGTTAATTCATGGCACTTTTCTGCACTGTGAGTTAGAGAAAAGTGCACATAATTAATCTGCAGCCCTGGTAGAGGATACTGGTACCACTGTCACTGAATTACCTCACATGCCACATCCAGCGATTGAAAATTTGGGGCCGAAGCAATAGTCCGAAGGTTCAATAATCCGAAGGTTCATTGGTCCGAATGTTCACTATAGAACCTTCAGACCAATGAACCCTTGGACAAGTGAACCTTCGCACTATCAAGACGCCCCCGAAAATTATGACGTACTTATAAACAATTCATACATAAAAATAGTGATAAAACTAGAATTTAAATTTTGACTTATTTGGACAATGCATATTTTTAGCATTGAGAATGGGGAAGCAGTTTATCTTGAAAAAATGTTTGTAAACACAGCACAACTCTTTTCCTATTTTCAGTTGACAAACTAGCTTGAAACAAATTAAAAGCAAACTCTCTTATTTGAGTCAAGATACATGTGCAATTAAATATTCCTGATAAAAACTATTAACATAACTTAATTAGGATATTATCTTCTGAACTTAATGAAGGCGGCTGCTTCATCTTGACAATATTCATGTATCTGCATGCAATTATTGAAATAACTGTAGACAATGAGATAAATAAATAGAAACACACACTTGCACACATTTCCAAGCACAACAATACAAATAAACAAGTTGTTGTTTTTTAATGTTTCATTTTTAATATGCATGAAAAAATCATCTTTCATGTATATAGCTATGTGCATTAATTCTAAATGTTGGATAATATACACACAATAATACACATGCAAACGAACACAGATATCTGTATTTGACAAGCTCAAATGAAAGTAAAAGAAACCCATCCAGGACCATTAATGCTGAATGTACAACCAATTGTTCTGCTCTGCATAATGTCTTTTCACAGCTAATCCTGTGAACCAGCAGCTGAGTATAGGACAGACGTACAGCACTTTGGAGAGAACATCATGCAGATCAATAATGCAGGAAAACGTGATGTTTTGAAAATGTTATCACAGGATTTCATCAATCAAACTACATTCTCTGTCTGCTAACTTCATTATATGGATTATTTGCAGCTTCATTATGCAAAATCAAATTTTTTTCCTCGTTTATTGACAACTCATGGTCATTTAATGACCCAAGTGTCTGTACGAGGTAAAATAATTCGGTGATTAGTATTTCAGTTACAGACAAGACTTGCACATTTTTGCTGAATTGCATTGGTTATTTGAACTGATGTGTTTGGTCATTATAAACAATTTAGACACACACATAAATTTGCCAATTTTTATCTTGTTTATTCAATTGGGATCTGTTACAGTGGTCTCTATTGAAAAAAGAATAACTGTAATATATGTCCCATCTAGTAATCAGTTATAGTTAATTAACTCAAACGCAGTGTATTTATATGATTAACAGTTGACCAAAATCAGCAACACAGATATCACTTGTGGCTGTCATAATTACACCCCCGAGACTGTTGTATATTTAGATATTTTCCACATTAGTGAAAAGGGAAGTCTTTAAAATGCCCGTCATTATCAGAATCCCATTTCTGCAAATTTCTGCTTATTTATACATTATTCAGGAAGGTGCTTTTGCATGCAGGGTGTGTGCCTAGGAATACTGCATCTGCATGCAGTGATGATATAATCAGATATTCCTTAATGAGAAATTGTCCCCTTGAGTTACAATTCAATGATTTAGTTTTGAGAATCCTGACTTGGTCACGTTGCTCATGGCAGTTGGCAAATGGCCTCAAACCTTACCTGAAAGTTAAAAAGTTTGAGGCTCATTACACTTTTGCAGACTTTACACCTGTGTTATATTTTAAATGCAACACAAATTTTAAATATTTTCCTAATCTTACCAAATAAAGTTACAAAAGTATCAAGAATTATACAGATTACAGGTTGTAAACTACATAGATTAAGGTAAGTAATGATGTCTGAATATTAAATACTTTCACTTATGTTAATTGGCATGAGATAACAAAGACTGTTGGATTTAGTCAAATTCAAATTTTCTTTGAAATTGATATTTCAGCATGCATTCACATGCAGGTTTCCTTTCTTATCATCAACATGTGCTATTGCTTCATTCATGCAAATACTGGATAAAAAATGAATCTTTACATGCTGATAGTTGGTAATAGAGCTACCAGTGCAATAATGATTAGAGAGACAAATAACACAATGTCATTTGGTCAATTTTCTCTACCTTTCTCCATATAATACTTCTATTATCAAACAGAGCAATCACTCATCTGTATTTGCAACTACGACACACCCATTAAAACAGGTAATATATACAAAAATTGGCAAACAAACCCATCATTAATAATTTGTTACCCAAACACTTTATGTATACATTGACAGCAATTAGTAGCAGAAGTTTGCTTTCACATGAATGGTCACTAACACGTGCCGAACGACTTCAAAGATTTGACGGCGTCTGTGCACGGATGGAAAAAAGTTGAGAAAATATTGTTGTACTAGGTCATGATCCTTGATCAGTGCACATACATAATGGTCGTCTCTGACTGTGAAAATGACCCAATCAATAAGAAGATCAATAATCAGTGATGGTTAGTGTGGTACAATCCCCCAACTGACTCAATAACTGTAACTATATTTAGCACTCCCTAATATTTATCATTTGCTTCCATGGCATTAGGTTAAAAAGAGGAAATTCATTATTTGATACTTAATACTTCCACTCAAGCTAAATCAATGGTCTCTTTTTAGTGTCTGACTAAGGAAAAATCATTCAATTAAAAATCATATAATTGCATGGTATATACGTGATGAAAACTGAATAGTAATTTGTACAGTGACAGAATCTTGTTAAAACACAAACACTAGAAAATATTTCAGTCTGTGTTTATTTTAAAAAAAAACTTGCCTTGGATGTTCAGAAAAAATTACTCTGAGAGAATAATTAACCTGAATTTTCCTGTATGTAGTCCAATAATTTGTTTAAACCATAAAAAATTACATGTTGTGAGATTTTCAGCAACCTATCAAGTACATTGTGATTATGGGTCAATAATAACTCAAAAGGCTAAGTGAAGTAAGTGGATTTGTCAAAGGTTGTTTTCCCTTGCAGTCAACCCCCAGAATCTGCCTTTGAGTCAATCTATCGTGAGAAACATTTGCTTGCAGCAAATCTTGCATGTGTTATCACAATAGTCAAGGCTGGCTGTGAAAAATGCTTAGAAAACACACCAGCTGCCTTATAGTGACTTACCTATAAAGGCTATTCAAAATACTGCATGGTTTGTTAACTTTGAACACCTTTAACAAAAAAATTGACTTTTATCAAGACACCTATATAGCAAAAGTAAATGAATGCCACCATAGTTGTTGTGAAAATTCAGTTATTTGTTGGTTCAGGGATACAATGTATATTTCTCCACACACCGTCTTGGGTGGTAAGGTGTATTTTCAAAATAATACTTTGATACATTATGGTAGATATGCCACAATTGTCATGAAAAAAAATTTAATAATTTAATATTCCTATTAGTTTGGAGTACATTGACAAAT